TCCCAGAAGGCAGCATGTGAAAAACTACTACTTAACCTTATAAGCAGAGCTGTCTTTACTCTGACAAATCAGGCCATCGCTTTGAACTGCTGGAAAAGAATTCTCCATGGGTCTCTCATGTTTCTGCATGTCTTACAAATGAGTCACTGACTGCTCTTTATTCAAAACTGCCTTTGCAAGGAGTTTGTACGGTGAACAGCCTCGGAAGATACAGATAATGCCTCCCCCTTTGGTGAAAAGGGCAGGCATGCTCACTGTCCAGCATAATAAAGGTAATGTCTCCCATCAAATCAAAGGAGAGGCATGCTTACTGCCCATTAAGGATTTAGGTTCCTTAACTTAAAGTTCCTCTCCAGCTTTTGGGAGTATCCTCTGGCCCTCTTCATGGTCACTCTGTGGGACTGGAGTTAAGGGCATCTGCACATAAATGCTGACTCTCTGGCAACTGCTATTGCTGTTAATAATAATTGTCCTTTATTTCTGACCCAGAAGTCTCATCTATTGTAACAGCATTCATGAAACTGTGGTAGGCTTTGTAAGTAGGGTGAAACTCAGCCTCTTCACAGTTCTCATCATGAACATACAGGCTGTCTCTTTTACTAAAATGTAAGCTCCTTGAAAGCTAAAATCCTGTTACTTTATTTATCACTGTATCTCCAAAACTTATGCTAATACCTGCTAAATAATTGCTACTCCCTGAGGTTAAAAGGCTTAATGAAGGAAGTGAGACTCGAGATGAACTCTGATTTTTTTCCCCTGCATCCTCTACTCTGCTGTGAGATATTGAAAATACCATTCAGAAGCAGAATCAAAGCCTGTCTTTTAGATTGCCAGTAGAAACGCACTGTATACTCTTACTTCTTTGCTTCTAATAGATGACAGAATATAGCCTCAGACATTCTGTGCCCTCTCAGAACAAGTGTTAGATTTTTCTTCTTCAGACAATCTCTGCTTCTTAAATGTTTCTGCTCTCTCTCCTCAGATGGCAGAATTGGGGCAGCCATCAAGTGAACAGCGGGTCATTTATACCTCACCTAACAACTTGTCTGTCAAGGGATAATCAGCTCCTATTACTTATTTTTGAATATTTTTCCACCAAACTTAGAAAAGATTCCTTCCCACTGTTCTTTGGTCTGAATTCATGACAATGCCTGATTTATTACACTGTTTTCAGAGGAGTCTTTTTTCAATTTTTTTTTTATTTTACTTTATGTTCCAGGATACATGTGCAGAGGGAAAGCATTAGGACAAATACCTAATGCATGCAGGGCTTAAAACCTGGATGACAGGGTGATTGGTGCAGCAAACCACCATGGCACATGTAAACAGGAGATTTTTAAATTCTTATAAATAGCTCGGGAAGTTTAAAGCTAGTTTGCAGTTTCTTTGAAAACTAAAAGTGTGCTATGTTCCAGAGCAGCAGTCATATTGGGCAAAGGCAAGAGAGGATGGTGTGGTTGATGACAGTCAAAAGAAAGAAAAGCCTGCTTTGGCTTGAGCAGGTGCTCCGGTATGGAGCAGCAGGAAAGCCCATGTGGGAAGTTTCTATCTCAACTCTCAAATCTGCTGGATTTCTACTGTTACCGGATAAAGAAGTTCCTTAAAATTAACATTGTAGAAAGAGTAAAACTTGTCAATATTCCTCAAGTCTTCCATTTTTACTTTTGCCATTATTTTCAAATGTCCCATGTGGAAAACCTTAAATGTTCACTCCTCACTTCCAACTTACAAAAAGGTGACAGTAATACACTAATAGCTGGGGAGGCCAAGAATACCCTGGTGCAATGAAAACGAAATGTTTTCAAAACTAGGACCCCATCCCAGTCCAACAGTTGTACTTACCAGTCTCATGTTTTAAATCTTTACAGATTCCAACTTCAGAAGGGCAAATACCTTATGAATTAGTTCTAAATTAAAACAGAAAAAGTTTGATATGGATTTAGTGTTCAAGACAGAGAAGGATTAATAGTGCTTGGCCTAAAGAAAGCTCAAGCCCAGGCAGGTGGCGGGCAGAATTCCGCTCAGCAGAGCCAACACACCTCAGGCAGGCCCTGTTTACCCAACCTCTGGCCTCCTCTTCAACAGACGCTGCCAATTGAGCAAACCAAGCTAAATGGTGTGGTGGTTTTCTAATGAGGCTAAGTAGGAACAAGAATGAACGAAGTAAACTTTTTCTTGTGGCCAAAGCAAGTCTGATTATGAGCTCAGACCTCCCGAGGCGAGAGGCTTATGTACTCACCAGCTGCTGTTTCACTGCCCTTCACACGAAGGCTATAGTGTGGCCATTCACGAAGTGCTCTTAAAAGTGGTGCCAGGAGTTCCCCTGAAAATGATTTTTCATTCTGGGCAGTGGAGCAATCTCTGGGTGTGAAATCATGTCTGAGGTTTATAAGTTATTGCTGACATCAATGAAATGCAACATTTGTTTTGCTTCTTTCAGTGTCCTGTAGGCATACTGGCACTCATTAAATGCTTCCTAAAAATATCATTTGGCAAACATTCATGGTTTGTTCATAAAGACTTATGTACATCATGGCAAGGGTCATGTTAGAAGGTTACTATAAAAATGTAAGCACATGCATTCATCAAATCAAACTGTTTCATTTTAATTAATATGCAGGGTTTTTTCTCTCTGTCCAGAAGCACAGCTTATATTCCAAAGGACTCTTTTTGGAGCTTCCGTGTGCCTTCAGATGAGTCCGCACCTCTCTCAACTTGAGCCAGAGTTACAGGTCTGTGGGTCAGGTTTCCTAAGATAATATTTGAAACATAAAGAGCAGGCCACTTAAGAATATTTCAGCAGGATGTTTCACCAATGACTTCCTCAGCGAAACAACTAAACAAGCTTGCCTACATGACATTCCCATTGTCATGAGACTCAAATGCTGTCTTCTCAGGGTATAAGTAAAGCACAAGAATTGGCCAGACCTGTTATTTGCACCAGACTAAAGAGTAAACTAATGAATGCCTTGTTTAACTCAAGCCAACATTTACTAAACAACAGCTGTCATTACAACACTGGGATCCATAAGAGAAGCCATCGGTAGAGGAGAAAGTAGTTCCTCATTGCTCTCTTTGCAGCCTCATCCCAACCCCAGGCAGCAGTTAAAGAGAGAACAGGAGTAAGAATTAACAGAAAATGTAAATAAGAAGAAAAATGGTGACTGGTTGAAGATTTGTTTACAGAAAACCTACATTGGCTGACTTTTCCACTCTCTCATGTGCACCCAAGTTTAAAGCAGAAAAAATACGTGAAGTAATCGAGCTATCTGCCTGCTATGGTTTGAGTGGTTGTTCCCTCCAAAACTCATGTTGAAATTTCATTTCAACAGTATTAAGAGGTGGGACCTTTGAGAAGTGATTAGGCCATAAGGATTCCTACCTCATGGGTGAGATTACTGCCATTCTAAAAAGACAAGTTTGGTCCCCTTTTGTCTTGTTGCCCTTCTACCTTCTGCCAATGTGAAGACAAAGCCTTTCTGTCCTCTGCATCATCTTGGCATCAGAATCACCAAACCCGCCAGTGCCTTGATATTGGACTTTCCAGACTCTAGAACTGTGAGCAAATAAATTTTTGTTCATTGTAAATTACCAAATCTTAGGTATTCTGTCATAGCAGCCCAAAACAGATTGACACACTGCCTCAAAGGAACTCTGGCTTTCATGTAGGGCACTAAAGCCACATAATAGAGTCCTCATTGTTTTGGCAAGTCTTGTGGAGGTGGGAGTAGAGGATTCTGCCTTCCTGTCCCAAGCCTGCAGTAAGGTCAAATGGCCAGCAAGCTGTCCACACTACACCGAGCTCAGTAAACTCTCTCATTCATGACATAGGCTAGTAAAGTCAGGTAAATAACAAAGCAGTTATCTAAATGAATGAACCTAATTCTTCATTCACAAATATGAATATAAAACCCAGAACTATCAGACATTTAAGAAAACCAATCAAAACCAATTAGAAGGACAAAGACAACCAAGCAGAACTGAACCCAAAGGAAACAAAAATAATTTCACTTCAATCAAGAGAATTTTGAATCAATGTTACTAAAAATATTGGAAGAGATTTTAAAACACATTTTTAGAAATCTCATAAAGGAGTAATGAGAAAGAAAGAAAAAGTTCTTGGAAAATAATAATGTGACAGCCAAAATAAAACTTGCAAAGGAAAGTTGGGATAAAACATTTAAGGCCATCTCCCAGTAAATATAAAAGGCATAATTATTTTAAAAATGAGAGAAAAGCAAAAAGACACAAAGAAAAAATCAAGGATGTCCAATATCTACTCAATAAGAGTTCCACAAAAAAAAAAAGAAAGAAAGAAAGAAAAAGTAAAACAAAGCAAAGGGAATAATAAAAGAGTTAATAGAATAAATTTTGTGAAAACTGAAAACAGGTATTCAAATTGAAAGGTCTCGCTGTTCGAAGAGCAGAATAAATAAAATAATACCCACATAGGCAGTGGCTCACGCCTGTAATCCCAGCACTTTGGGAGGCTGAGTCAGGCATATCAGATCACGAGGTCAGGAGTTCAAGACCAGCCTGATCAATATGGTAAAACCCTGTCTCTACTAAAAATACAAAAATTAGCCGGGCGTGGCAGTGCCTGCCTGTAATCTCTGCTACTCACAAGGCTGAGGCAGGAGAATCGCTTGAATCCGAGAGTTGGAGGTTGCAGTGAGGCGAGATCTGCACCACTGCACTCCAGCCTGGGTGACAGAGCAAGACTTCATCTAAAATAATAATAATAATAATAATAATAATAATAATAATAATAATACCCACATCTTGGCTCATACTTACAAAATTCAGAACAGTTAGAAAAGAAAATAGCCAAAAAGTATCCACAAAGAAGTTGACTACAGGGAAGCAAAAATCAGATTCATATCACATTTCTCATTAGCCACAATGAATATTGTATACTACTGAAGATTTCTCATTAGCCACAATGAATATTGTATACTACTGAAGCAATGTCTTTATGAATATTACAGGAAATTCTTTTCTTTTTTTTTAACTTTAAACAAATTTTTATTACACAAAGGTTGTCACATAATTGGATATTTCTCTACTTTGTACACAATTATTCTCACTCTCCACAGAAAGGCTGCTTAACTTCTCATCTGGTGGTGGCAAACACTAAAATCTTGATTTTAACAGAATAGTAGTAAAAATGCTCCAGTGATTTAAGTTGAAAGCAGTACATTGGTACATGGCTTTTGTACCCATTATCAGGAATGTACAAATGTTTTTTATTCAAAAATACAAAATAAATTATCTGTAGGCATGGACAATGACAGCAATAAACCATTATATATTTTGTCAACTGAAACCAGTAACTGATGGTTATAGTGATTTTCAGCCAGCCTTTTTCTTCATTTTCTCCAACTGACTTCTCTGAAGTTATTGGTGAGGAACACTGCCTTGGGCTTCCTGTCACAGTTCATTAATAAAGGTAAAGCACTACTAGTCTAGGAGTTAGAACATGCCACCTCCCACACCACCTCCCATTCCACCCATTGCACCCATTCCAGGGTCCTTCTCTTCTTTAGGAATTTCTGTGACGACAACTTCTGCTGTAGTTAACAGACAAGCCACACCAGTAGCATCCAATAAAGCAGTTCTCACAACCTTTGTTGGGTCAATAATTCCTTTTTCCACCACATTCACAAACTCTCCGACCACAGCATCATAACCAACTTCTGAGGAACATTGCATAATTTTCTCAACTATCAAAGATCCTTCAACACCTGTATTCTTAGCAATGGTCATTGCTGGAATTTTGAGTGTTCTTTTAATAATTTCTATACCAATTTTTTGATCTTCATTAGCTGGGGTCAATGAGTCCAAGGCTGAAATGCATCACAGCAGGGCACAACCCCCTCCCAAAACAATGCCTTCTTCAACAGCAGCTCTTGTAGCATTAAGGGCATCTGTAACTCTGTCTTTCTTTTCATTCACTTCAACATCACTTGTCCCACCAACTTTCAGCACAGCTACTCCATCTGAAAGTTTTGCCAGCCGTTCATTCAGCATTTCCTTTTCATATTCACTAGTTATGACATCTAACTGCTCAATGATTTCTTGAATATGTTTTTCAATTTGAGCCTTGTCACCTTTTCCTTTTCAGAGCATGGCATCGTCTTTGGTCACAATGACCTCTCCAACTTTTCCTAAGTCATGAGGCTGAACGTCTTCAAGATTTAGGGTCAACCCCTCTTCTCCAAACACTGCACCACCAGTAGCAATAGCCATATCTTTAAGCTGGTTCTTTCTATTGTCACCAAACCCTGGAGTCTTGATTGCCACAACCTGAAGACCAATCTTTAGCCTATTCAAGACGAGTGTACTTAGAGCTTCTCCATCAACGTCTTCAGCGATTATGACCAAAGGCTTACGGTGAGCAGTGGCAATTTCAAGAGCACGTACAATGGACTGGACACTAGAAATTTTCTTTTCACTCAGCAGAACATAGGCATCCTGGAATTCACATTTCTGACCTTTTGATGCATTAATAAAGTATGGAGAAATATAGCCTCGATCAAACTTCATGCCTTCGATAATTTCTAATTCATCATTCAGTGTTTTTCCATCCTTTACTGTGATGACACCCTTTCTTCCAACCTTTTTCATTGCATCAGAGATAATATTGCCAATTTCTTTGTCTCGGTTTGCAGAAATCGTAGCAACCTGTGCAATTTCTTCAGGGGTGGTCACAGGTTTAGACTGCTTTTTAAGTTCAGCAATTACAGCATCAACAGCTAACATCACACCTCTCCTGATTTCCACTGGATTAGCACCTTTGCTAATCTTCTCGAAGCCTTCCTTGGCTACAGAGCGTGCCAGTACAGTAGCAGTGGTAGTACCATCCCCAGCCTCTTCATTTGTGTTACTGGCAACATCTTGAACAAGTTTAGCCCCAATGTTTTTATATTTATCCTTTAAGTCAATTGACTTTGCAACAGTCACACCATCTTTTGTTACTTTGGGACTTCCCCAACTCTGCTCAATAATCACTGTTCTTCCCTTTGGCCCCATTGTAATGGCTACAGCATCGGCTAAAAGGTCTACACCTTGAAGCACTAAGGCTCGGGCATCTGCACCAAATTTTACATCTTTGGCATAAGCCCGAGTGAGATGAGGAGCCAGTACCCTGGACACCGGTCTCATCTGGCGAAAGACTGTGGGTAACCGAAGCATTTCTGCGGGGCGGTGGCGGGGCGTACGGGCGGGGAGACAAGTCGTCAGCGGCGAGTGAGGGACAGAGTAGGAAATTATTTTCAACTTAGAATTCTGTATCTAGTTTCAGTCAAAATATGAAAAAATTATAAAGACATTATTGTACATACAGGTAATGAGCAAATTTATATTCCTTTCTATAAAAAGTTACTTGGGCCAGTCACAGTGGCTCACGGCTGTAATCCCAGCACTTTGGGAGGCCGAGGAGGGCAGATCACCTGAAGTCAGGAGTTCAAGACCACCCTGACCAAAATAGTGGAACCCCATCTCTACTAAAAATATAAAATTAACTGGGCATGGTGGTGCACGCCTGTAATCCCAGCTACTCAGAAGGCTGAAGCAGGAGAGTTGCTAGAACCTGGGAGGCAGAGGTTGCAGTGGGCTGAGATCGTGCCATTGTACTCCAACTTGGGCAACAAGAGTGAAACTCCATTTCAAAAAAAAAAAAAAGAAGTTACTTGATGCACTACAGCTAAACTAAAGTGAAACCACAAAGGGGAAGACATAAAATCCAAGAGAATCCATAATAATGCTTCTGCAGCAAGACTAGGACACATATCTGTGCATCCAACAAATAGTATAATTAAGAACTTTAATTAAAAAATAGTTATTTTTAAGGCCCACATTCCTCCTATAAACACACACACACCAGTACACAAAAGGCAATTACAAACTCTTAAGAACAAAAATTATACAAGAAAATTTGGATCCAAGTAAGAAACATATTAAAATGTTATTGTTTAGAACAACAGGCATCTGAGACAAGAGAATTTATTTGACTTTCATGCTTGGAACATCTTCCTCCAAACAATACAGATTTAAAGATGTAAAATGTTATTTATTTTTCTGAATTTTTACATGTAGAAATATTTACATAATCAGCACAATTTAAGTGCTTCTTCTTATTTTCCATTTTAAGTTGAATTTATAGGCAAAGCATGGAAGCCATAATTTTAGTAAAGGGAAAGAATGTAACTGTTGAAAAATTTGACCATGTAAATTGAGGGTACTGTTGGCAGATTTTGAAAGAGAAGAAGGGAAACAGAAATGGAGACGAATATGTAAGCAAACTAAAGTCTAATAAAGTTTTCAATTTTATATAATTAGAAGGAAAGAAAATGTTCTGACATTCACCAGGAGACAATGTAAAGGTATTATTTAAAGTTATAAAGATAGCCAATACAAGTACCAAAAACAAAAATTGGGAAAGAAGAAATGAATGAAAAATAGTCAGAGAAGGGAGTGATTAGACACAAATTTAACTAGAAGATAAATAACTAGAGGTTTAAGCATATTATTTAATGTGAAAGAAAAGTCAAACCCAGAAATGGTCAAACATAATTTTGTTTGAGGCAGCAATTCTCTAAGTACAGCCTAGGACCCCAGACAAGGTCAAAACTATTTTTATAATAATATAATTTTTTTATATTTGCCTTTTCAACTCTCATTTTGACATCATTGTACAGTGCAAGATTCTATAGGATACATGATGTATGATATCTCAACAGATTGAAGCCTACTATCTTTTATTATTCAGGCATTAAAGAGATTTGCAAAAATACGAAATAATGCCATTCTTCTAATTATGACTGACATTTTAAAATACATTTTATTCAATTATGGTTTTCAATGTTAATACACAATTAGTTTGTTATTATGATTTTTATTAATATTTTACAATTTTTAGTTTAAATTTCTCATATGATGAATATTGATAAATTAGCAAAAGCTTTTTGGGTTCTTCAATAATTTCTTAGAATCTAAAAGAGTCCTGATAGGAGTGACATCAGCAAGATGCTGGAATAGGAGGTTCCAGACCACCTCTCTTCAGAAACTCTGATGTTGGCAACCACCCATGAGGAACATTTTTACTTTACCATTGTTATCCTACTCCAAAGGCAACACAACTTGGTATTGAGACAGGACCTCTTTGCCCACAATATTCCCTATGGGAAAAAGTGAGAGTGCAGTGAGCACTCACCTTCCTTGGCCTTGTGGGATGTAGTTGACCAAGAGGCCCACTTCTATGCTGCCCACAAGAACAGTGAGGAGATCAGTACAGCTGAATCATCTAGGGACAGCTAGGAGCCCAGAGAAGAGACAGAAGCACACAGCAACTGGTGCACAGATTTTAACATCCAGCCACACATCCTGCAAACTTGCTAACTGCTTCTACCAAGAGGCCTGCCCATGAACCCTGCAGGAAACCTCACCTAAAGATATCTCCCACTAAGTGATATATGTCCTTCAAACACCCATGGGTGGCACCCTGTGCATCTTCATTGCAACTCATGCAAAGTCCCATAGAGAGCCCACAAATATCAACAGCAGGGACAGATCTTAGCCACCAGCTTGACTGTGCTAGTTTTGGAGAAAGAATACAACTTCAGGGCACTGACCTAAGGAATGCCTCAGGGCACTGCCCTAGGGAAAACAAGAGGCTCTCAGCACCAAGTCTGGCCTTACAGGATTAAGAGAAGGCATACAATCCTAAGACATATCCCTTAAGATGGAACAAGAGAAATGGAGTGAGTGCATCAATAGAAGTCTGGGAGATCACTGGAATCTCAGGCCAAGTTCACTGCGGAAGATCTTTCTATCCAGAAGTCAGTCAGTAAAGACAGGAAACGGTGATTGCTTCTTCAAATGTTAGGACAGCAAGGCAAGGCTTCAAGGAACGCAAAGAATTAAGAAAATACAGCCCCATCAAAGAAATAAAGTCAAACTCCAGTGGCTATCTCCAAAGAAATAAAGACTCTGAACTTCCTGACAAATAATTAAAAAAAAAAAAAGTCTTAAAGAAGCTCAGTGAGCTACAATGAAACAATGTTATGGAAACAATACAATAACAAAATGGGAAGTTAAACAAAGAGATAGAAACCATTTAAAAAAAAAAAAAAACAGAAATTCTGGAGGTGAAGAATATGTCTGAAATAAAAAATGCAACAGAAAGCTTCAACAACAGACTCAATCCAACAGAAGAAATAATAGGAAACTCAAAGCAAATTATTTGAAATTATCCAGTTCGGGAAACAAAAAGAAAAAAGAATGGAAAAGAATGAAGAAAGCTTATGGGACATGTAAGATACCATCAAGCAAACCAACCTACACGTCATGGAATTCCAGAGGAGCAGGGAAAGGAAAAGAGGCAGAAATCTTATTTGAAGAAATAAGGACAGAAAATTTCCAAGCCCGAAGAGGGAAATGAACATCTACATCCAAGAGGCCTAAAGAATTCTCAATAGGTTGAGCATAAAGAGGTCTTCGCAGAGACACATTACAATTAAATTGTCAAAAGTCAAAGACAAAGAGAGAATTTGGAAAGAAGCAAGAAAAAAGTGACTTGTCACATACAAGGGAACTCACATAAGACTGTCAGCAGATTTCTCAAGAGAAACCTTGAAGGCCAGGAGAAAGTGGGTAGATACCTTCAAAGTGAAAACAAAACAAAACAAAACCCCTGCTAACTAAGAATAATAAACCCAGCAAATCTATCCTCCAGAAACGGAGAGATAAAGTTTCCCAGACAAACGAATGCTGGCAAAGTTCATCACCACCAGATCCGCCTTATAGAAAATGCTAAAGGGAATCCTTCAAGTTGAAACAAAAGAATGCTAACAACATGAAAGCACATGAAGGTATGAAAATTACCAGCATAGGTAAATATGTGGTTAAATTCAGAATACTCTGATACTGAAATGGTGGTGTGAAAATCACTGTTAGCCAGCTGGGCACAGTGACTCACGCCCGTAATCCCAGCACTCTGGGAGTCTAAGGTGGGTGGATCACGAGATCAGGAGATCGAGACTATCCTGGATAACACGGTGAAACCCCATCTCTACTAAAAATACAAAAAAAAAATTAGCCTGGCATGGTGGCAGGTGCCTGTAGTCCCAGCTACTTGGGAGGCTGAGGCAGGAGAATGGCATGATCCCGGGAGGTGGAGCTTGCAGTGAACTGAGATCATGCCACTGCACTCCAGCCTGGGCGACAGAGCAAGACTCCATCTCAAAAAAAAAAAAAGAAAGAAAGAAAAGAAAATCACTGTTAGCTCTATTGCAAAAGTTTAAAGTCATAAATATTAAAATAACTATAGGTGGAATAATTTGTTAATGAGTGCATAATATAAAAAGATGTAAGTTGTGACAGCAATAATGTAACATGCAAAGGAGGGAATAAACATGTAGAATTTTTTATGTAATCAAAATTAAATTGATATCAGCTTCAAATAGATTACTGTAACTATAAGATGTTTTATGTAAGCCTTGTGGTACTTACAAAGAAACAAAAACCTGTAATAGATACATGAAGGATTAAAAGAAAGGAATAAAAGCTACCACTACAAAAAAAAGTAAAATCACAAAGATAGACAGCAAGAGAAGAGGAAAAAAAAAAAGAACTATAAAACTATCAGAAAACAATTTTTTTTAAATGGCAACAATAAGTCCTCTCTAGCAATAATTACTTTAAGGTTAAATTGACCAGTCTAAAGAAATAGAGTAACTGAATAGGTTAACATTTTTTAAAATATCAAACTATATGCTGCCTTAAAAAAAGGCTCACTTTAGTTTTAAGGACACCATATGCTGAAATGAAGAGATTAAAATGTATATTCCTTGCAAATGGTAACCAAAAGAGAGCAGGGGTAGCTATACTTACATTAGACAGAATAGACCTGAAATCAAAAGATGTCACAAGAGACAAATAATAGTCACTATATAATGATAAAGAAATCAATTCATCAAGAGGTATAGCATTGTAAATGTATATATATATACACACACACATATATACCACGAACATCAGGGCACATAAATATATAAAGCAAACACTGGCAGATCTGAAGAGAGAAATAGACAGCAATACAATAATTGTATATAGGACATCAATAAGCCACTTTCAACAACAGATGCATCATCGAGACAGAAAAATCAATAGAGAAACATTGGACATAAGCTACATTTTAGGCCAAATGGAGCTGACATATAAGAATATTCTATCCAACAGCAACAGAATACACATTA